GAGCTGGAACCCCGTGGGGGGTGCTGGGCTGTGCATTCCTCCCCGAGAAACGCCCCCCCATGAACCCCTGGGATGAAAAGTCATCTTCTTCATAAAAATGAAAACCAGTGCAGCCTCCATGGAGGGCGAATTCCCAGTAATTTCCCTTGTAGGAGTTTATCCCAAGGGCACATTTGGGGACCGACAGAAGGACTCGTGTGGACTGATCGTCACTGGGGTCACTTACACGAGCAGAGGATGGAGACATCCTCATGCCACATGGGAGGACCGTCCGGTCACATCACATCCAGATGCCGGGAACCCGTTTCCTAAAATTAAGCGCGTGGGAGTTTTTTCTCACGCCACAGAGTTAATTGGAAAAGGCAGATTACGAAATGGGAAAGCAAGGTGACCTCAGTTTTGGGGTATGTGTGTGACTGTGAGTATGTGTGAGTGTGAGTGTGTGTGTGTGTGTGTGTCTGTGTGTGTATGTATGTGTATGAGTACATGTGACTGTGCGTGCATGTTAGTNTGTGACTGAGTGTGTGTGTGTATGTGACTGTGTGTGTGTATGTATGTGTATGAGTACATGTGACTGTGCGTGCATGTTAGTGTGTGTGTTAGTATATGTATGTGAATATGTGAATGTATGTATGTCAGTGTGTGTGTATGTTGCGTGTATGTTAGTGTGTGTGTGAGTATATGTGAGTGTGTGTGTAAGTATGTGAGTGTGAGTGTGAACACACTCCCCAGGCCATGTCAAACTGGGGGAAGATCCTATAATGTGACTCATAGAAATAGCAACGCCCCACAGTGTGGATCTAGCTGCCATGTCCTGGCGGCGGGGACGTCGCTCTCCGGTAACAGGCGCTCGACGCCACGGTCAGGAGCCCACTGCAGGGGGCGGGAGGCGAGGCGAGGACTGATGTGGTGATGATGGAAAGCTGGGGTTCCCTCCTGCTCCTGGGGCCGTCCCATTCCGCACAGAGTGGAGCCGTCAGCTCGGGGCCACCGCAGGCTGGGGGCTTAGGCTCGCAGTCCTGGAGGCTGGCGGTCCACGATCAAGGTGTTGGCCTGAGGCCGCTCCTTGTGCAGATGGCCGTCTTCTCCCCTTCTCCTCCCAAGGCTGACTCTTAATCTCCTCCTCTTATAAAGACGCCAGGCCTATGGGTTAGGGCCCACCCCAGCGTCCTTAATGACATCTTCAAAGACCCTGTCTCCAAACCCACCGCCATTCTGAGGAGCTGGGGGTTGGGAGGTGGACATATGAATGAGGGGAGGGGCACGGACACAGCTGAAAGGGTTGCGATTCCCATGGACATTCGTGGAAAACAGGGTCGCAGGCAGGCAATGGCCACAGAAACGTCACAGACTGAATGAAAGGCTGCCCCGAGATGCACCGCACGTTCCCGTGGGGGACGCGAGCCCGGAGGAGCCGGGGGACACCGTGGCGTCGGTTTCTAGAGGCTCAGGGCAGGTGCGCAGAGGGCCCTGGCCGCTGGCAACGCAGACTGTCATCTGGTCTCAGGTTTTGAAAACTGGACGGTTCTCTGCCCCCCCCCCCCC